ACCTCAGTTCGATTTTTGACGGTTTTTCTCAGGATTTGGTCGTTCTTGAGGTTCCTAACTGACTTGATATCATCCACTAACATGGTTAATCAGTTATTAACTGAAGATATGGATGAATCATTGATTCTCATCTAAAACCCCCCAACCGAAGCCTATAAATACGAGCTCGGTGGCTCATTTTAAGGGGGGATAATTATCAAGACGAGGAGGTGCTGCCGGATTGAGGAGTCAAAGGAGGACGAATTTCAGCGAAGGTCAACGAGATCCCGACGAACTTCAGCATTGAAGAGGAGTCATTCGAAGGATCCGAAGCCCTACACGTCTGTTCCTTGATATTAGGCTTGGTCTTAATCTCGAGAAGAGCCCTGATTTCGCTTGGTCGATCTCAGCGCTTCAAGCAAATACCCCCTTGGTGAGGTAGGAGCTCTGCCCGAATTTTCCATCAACCGGATTCAGATCAAAGGCGGTCCACGGATAAACCCTGACACAGGTAAACGCAAGCAGAAGACCGATAAACGATCTCTGCGTTTATTTGATGAGGACTGTATTTTTTCGTTTTCATTGTTAACCTTTGGAGTCCAAAAGGGGTTTTTGCTTTTAGACCCATTTGTTTGCTCCCATTTATCTTTAAACTCAATTATTATTATTTCTATTTGGGTTTTTTGCTTTTAGACCCATTTGTTTACTTCCATTTATCTTTAAACCCAAGTACTATTATTTGTATCTTTAAGCCCAATTCACCTTTTGTATTTATCTTTAAATCCAATCTTCAAAATATTATATTTTCACCACTTGTTTTTATATTTTGGAGATTGAGTTTAAAGATAAATACAAAAGGTGAATTGGGCTTAAAATAGAAATAATAATACTTGGGTTTAAAGATAAATGGGAGTAAACAAATGGGTCTAAAAGCAAAAACCCCTACATAAAATACTTCTTTAGTCTCCCCATGTGCATATAATCCATTACGTGTTTATACTTTATCAAACCGACAGACTAGCTTAAGACGGTGTTTACCAGACCCAAAAACTTAGGGTCATAGTTACATTTTCACATAACTTTATAATAATATGGTAAAATTTTGTACTATGCTACTTGATGATGCTATCATTTTAACGTAAGTGCGGAAGTGGCAACCTCGAAATTCATCAAGAGGTGTTCTCTAAATCTACAGAGAATGATCTCCGAATTCACGAAGAATTTCGAATCTACGAAGAAAATATTAAAAAGAAATTTTATTGATAAAAAGTTATGCTTCTAGGGCTTACAATACTCTGCTTAAATAGAAAATAAACAAGACTCCTACTATGACTCAAATTTTACCAAAAATAGAAATAACAAAACTCTTCCTAAAAGACCCCCTATGATTAGGGAAGTAAATCAGTCAAATTTGGAATCAAACCGGATTTGATTCCAAATCAAACCAGACTCTTAAAACCTTACCTAAAATAGTAAAAAAATAACAAAAACACTGATATCTCTCAATTCGGAGGGAATTTGGAGAAACAGATAGCAGCAAACCAAACATCCATTAGTTTAGTTGACTCTGTCTCAAAAAAATACGCAATTTTTATTTGTAATTTATCTAATTCTGACTTATGGTTTGAAAGATATGACTCATTCTTCGTGGAAAGTTATTTTCCTCGACTGGGTCCGCGTTTGGGCTTGTGTTTGTCTCGCTTCTCCATAAATATATCTGCCATGTGTTCTATATCAGCCCCCCTGCTTGAAAAGAGCTTGATCCCGAGCTTATACTTGCATGAAAAGTTGTTCCTTCTGGCAGGTAATACTCAAATAAATATGCAACATTGAAACTAGGCCAATCTCGAATAGCACGCACCTTCTCTTAATCAACATGGATGCCCTCTTCACTGACGATAAAGCCTAAGAATAATAGGCTACTGGTCATGAAGTTGCACTTCTTCAGATTAATGTACAACTTATTTTCCTACAAAGTAATTAGTACCTCCCTCAAGTGGTCCAGATGCATGGTCTCAGTCTGACTATAAATCAGGATATCAACAAAGTAAACGACAACGAACTTGCCGATAAATGGTTTTAAAACCTAATTCATCAACTGTATGAAAGTGCTAGGAGCATTGGAAAGCCCAAAAGACATGACCAACCATTCATACATGCCTTCTTTTGTTTTGAAGGCAGTCTTCCGCTCATCTCTCCTTCTCTAATCCGAATTTGATCATAACCACCCTGAGATCAATTTTGGAGAACACTTTTGATCCAGACAACATATCTGGAATGTCTTCCAGGCAAGGGATAGGAAATCGATACTTCACAGTAATCTTATTGATAGCCCTACTACCCACACACATGCACCACTTTTCGTTCTTCTTTGGGACTAGTAATGCTGGCACGACACACGGACTCATGCTAGCTTTTATAAGGCATTTCTGTATGAGATCGTCCACCTGTTTCTGCAAGATCTCTCCTTCCTTCGGGCTCATCCGATAGTGTGGTAGATTCGATAGCTGTGATCCAAGAATGAAATCAATCTGATGTTGAATGTCTCGAAGTAATGGTAATTCGGAAGGATGTTCGTCAGGCATAACTGCATCAAATTATTGCAAGAGGGTCTGTACTTCAGGTAAAATTTTGGTGGAGGCAGAATCCTTATTTCCTGATATAACAATAGCATAAACCTCGTCAGATTGCTTAAAATCTTTTATAAAATCTTTATTGTTAATGACCAAAAAAGTCTTCTTTTCAGCAACATTTGTTTTGATTGTGCCCTTCTCTTAAATAGGTGTGAGCACAACTCGACGACCATCCTTCTAAAAGATATAAACATTATCCTTCCCCCTGTGCGTGGCATCAACATCAAATTGTCATGGCCTGCCTAATAGCATATGACAAGCATCCATCTCAACTACATCACACAATGCATCATCAACATAGAGTCGGCCAATGGAAAAAGATACCGACACACCTCATCAACATGCACATCATTACCCCTACGAATCCAACCGATCTTGTAGGGAGTAGGATGTTTCTTTGTCTTCAAACCGAATTTCTCCACCATGCATCGAGAGACAATATTCTCACTACTACCACTATCAATGATAACATCACAAGTCTTCTGTTTTACAATGTATCTCGTGCGGAAGATATTATGCCTCTGTGGTGGCTCTTCTATCTTTGGAGCCAATAATAGTCATCGCACAATACACGAGAGTTGATCCCCGTCATCAAGATCCACCCCATCACCTCCATAGTCTTCAGCATCATCTTGGTCTATATCCTCCTCCTCATGATCCACCATATTCACAACACTTCTTTTAGGGCATGTTTGGATCGATGACTAGGTTGACCACATCTGTAGCCCTTGATTGGATCGGGTTTGGCATATGGGTCCGGTGATGTAACCTTCTTTGTTGTTGTTGTCGTTGGGTCTTATAGGCTGTCTAAAAATCACTGCAGAGAGCTGATCCCCATAAAACATCGATGATGAAAGTTATAATTCGACGGCTTTCAGAAGACTACAATTTAAAGACTTTCATGTAGATCGATGAAGGTTACAATCTGACGAGCTTCATAATAACTGATGAAAGTTTCAATCAACAGCCTTCACAATTAATATTGGGAGTTACAATCTAACAACTCTCACATATCAAAGAGCTAAAGCAAAGATTACAAAATGACGATCTTTGTAACGCTTTGACAGAAAGAGACTACAAATCGACGGTCTCTTCAAATCAAGACGCAGAAGTCCTCCCCGCGTACCATCATCAAAACGCACCGCGTTCACAGCTGCTGACGCAGTGCAAACATAGCTCACATTCAGCTCCAAATGCAGCTCAGACCCAGCTACTAACGTAGCTCATGTTCGGCCGTAAACGCAGCCTCCAAAGCTGCCAACGCAGCTTCTATCCGCTGCCAAACGCAGCTCTTAAATCCTACCAACGCAGCCTCTAAAGCTGCCAACGCAGCTTCTATCTACTACCAAACGCAGCTCTTAAATCCTACCAACGCAGCTTCCAAATCGCTACAAACGCAGCTTCCAAATTGCTGCAAATAAGCTTCCAGACGCTACGTTCGAGCTTCCAGACATTGCGTCCGAGCTTCCAGACGCTGCGTTCAAGCTTCCAGACACTACGTTTGAACGCAGAATTCACGTCATTGCGTCCGAGCTTCCAGACGCTGCGTTCAAGCTTCCAGACACTACGTTTGAACGCAGAATTCACGTCAGAACGCGGATTTTGTGTTTGACTAGTTTAAACACGAGCTGAACGATTTCAAAACTATTTCCCACGATCTGAGGGGATCATAACTCCACTCAGGAGTGATTTAAGAGTCGGTTACATCCCATTAGCCCTACTTAGGAGCGAATTAAGGGGGAGCGGTTACACCCCTTAATCCCCTATAAATAACTAAAAAATCAATTTAGTTAGGGGGCTCGGATCCTTCGGTTCTGATCCTTCAGCTGGGACTTGGCAGCGAAAAGAGGATCCTTCATCCTTCGGCTGGATCTTTGGAGATCAGTAACATGATCTTCTTCATCATTGGCTTATAACCGACTTTCGGTTAAATCGACTCTTTCATAGAGTTTTAAACTCGTTCAGAGTTATCAACTCATCAAGAGTTTCAAACTTGCCACGCAAGTTCTCCACATCGTCAAATCGTAAGGAGGAGATACTGTTCCAGTGAATCAAGACGTGCGGATCGTCAACGGAGAGCAAACTCGACGCGAGCATTCGAGGGAGGCACTCCATCGCCACCGTGAAGAATCCAGAATTAAACAAATGGGAGAATCCAGATCATTCTCCTCTCTTTTGTAATCAGAATTCAAATTGTAATTAAGATCGAGAGAATATAAATCAAATTTCTTTCATTTTATTTACTACAAATTTTCCACCAAACAGGTCTGTACCTTTCTCATGCAGTTGTAGCATCTTGATCATAAGTAGTTTGAGACTGTTTTTTCTCACGACGATTAAAGCTCGTGCGCGACCCGTTGAAAGCTACCCACGATCCTCTATTATTCCGTCCAAGTTGTCTCTCCACCTTTTCGACTAGGCTAACCGTGTCTACCTATTAGCCACAATAAAATAATATAGGAAATATTCATTCAAAAGTTTAATTCAGAATAAGCGCTAGCTGAGAAGATAAAGAATATATGGAGAAAATCAATGTTAAGTATAAGGTAGATGTTGGTCGATGCAGGAGAAGCTGCTATTCAAATAAATATAAGTTCAGGGCCGAGCTTCTTTCAACAAGGTGAGACTGATGTAGGATGCATAACGATCAAATTCATGGAGAAGCAGGACCTTCACGAGTCAAATACAGATACAAATATATTATTGACTGACCGTATAGAAACAACTATATCTCTCAATCCAGAAGGTAGATTGTAACATATTATATATGAAAATTGCCTACCTCAATGAGACAGTCAATCTCATAGAAGAATCCTTCAATCCCATCAGTAACACCCGTTGTTAATAGGATTTTAGAATAATTAGCCTTTAGTTTATATTTAGTAATAAAGTTAGAGTCAATTTAGATTAGTAAGTAAAACCAATTTTGATTTAATTTGAACTGATTTGTTGCCTTTATTATAGAGAGTCTTTTAGGTAGTTTTAAATTATTTTTTCTTTTAGGAATTCTGTTCTTATTAGGAGTAGGTTTTGTTTTTCTATTTAAAAAGAAGGATTGTAAACCTCATGTATCAGATCACTCTTATTAATAAATATCTCTTGTTATATTTTCTTCGTGGATTCGAAGCTCTTCATGGATTCAGATATCGTTCTTTGTGGATTCAAAGAGCACCTATTGGTGGATTCTAAGGCTTATCACTTACGCGCTGCGTTAAATACAACAGATTAGTGCTTTTCACAAAAACATGAAGGATACATTTGGAGCATTTTTGGTAATTTTAGAATATAATCATCTTGACTTATGAACCTATAAGTAGATTATAAACAAGTGGAGTTAAAATGTTTTGTAAATTTATTGGATTATAATCCACTTTAACTAGTAGAGTGTTTGGCAAATGGGTGGCTTATAAGCCATCATTAATGTTAAAATAACCAGAAAGTATTTAATGGGGTTGTAGAGAGATAAATAGGGTTTAGAATTTTATAAATGTGAGGGGCATATTGAACTTTTAGTTGGGCAAACCTTGTGCAAATAATAAGCTAGAATACCCCAGCTTATTTTTTGGGTGGTTTATAAGCCGAAGTCATTTTCCCAACATGTCATAGTGGTTCATAAAGCACAAAAGTTGCTTATAAGCCACTTTAACCACTTGCGAAACATGCATTTTAATCACTTGCCAAACATACTCTTAGTTTCTTGAATTTGTGGTACTGATATAATACTCATTAACTTACGAAAATAAAAATTCAGTTAAAATTTTACGTTTTTGGAATTTTAAGTTATAAACAGACTAACTTGAACTTTTTACTAGTTCCTTTTATTTTTTATTGGTTGAATGACAACAAATGTCAAGGATCAAACATCATTAATTATATATATATATATATATATATATGTAGAGAGAGAGAGAACAAACTAATAAAAATCTAGCAATTAGATATCTAATTAACAAGATCAGATGAAATTCTTTACAACACCAGATCAGTGACTGCATGCAAAACTAAAGGACTAAAACATTAGCAATACGAATTATACCTAATTAGAAGTCTAATTTAGGATTACAGACTAATCTAAAGCCCAGAAACAATAAAGAAAAAGAAAGGGAAGAAAAATAAGAGGAAAATCTCACAAATCCTCATTATAATCAAAACTCTGAGCCTCAGGGATCTCTATTATGCTTTCCAAACTTGGTTCCCACCCTTGATTTCTCCCTCTTGCTTCTCTCTCCCTCTCTCTCCCACTCTCCATCAACACATCCTCAAGATTTCTCCCTCCTTTCTCCTTCAAACTAAGCATCAACCACTCAAGCTCTCTCTTAGTTAACAATATCTTAACGCTTAAACCAACCTCTTTATTTACAACATCTTCTCCTTTGCCATCTCTGTTCTCTTGCCTCATTATGCATGTCTCCATGCAGTTGCCCATCCTTAGATATGGAGGAAATTAAGCTTTAGCATCATTACAAGTGACGGTAGTTACTAATAAATAGAGGGTTGCTGCTGAAGACTTGGAAGCATTCAATGGTTCTGATCTTTTGCACCCAATAAGTGTGCACATTAATTTAATGGAAAATTACTTCTAACCCCCAATTTCTTTACAAGTATTCTCCCCTCCCTCCTACCAAGACTTTTTCAACGCTCCCAAAAGTCCCAAACTCAAAGTCATAATTCCCTGAGCCCCAAACACAAAATTCAAGAGTTTAAAACATGTAAAGACCTTAATACATTTTCTGTCTCTTTTTTTCATAATGTTACTGTGATGATTTGAAATGGATTTTTTTTTTTTTTTTGTGTGTGTGTGTGGGGGGGGGACTCTAGTTCCCTCCAAATTTTTCCAATGGCGCGAAACTTCCCGTGTTCGTCATCGGCGGCGAAAAAATCTACAATCTTGAATACGGTGATGACAAGTTGCACACCAACCCCTTAAGTTTACATATTGTTGTATTTTTTTTTAAATCAATGACTTGAGATTAAAGTAGAGTATGTCAATTATATATTATTGTTATTTCACTGTAATAAGTTTGTTGTTTATGAGTTGGTGGTGAAGGAAGGTTACATGTTGGTTTTGAAGGTTACGAGTTGGTTGTGAAGTTGCCAAGGGTACGTGTTGATTGTGAATGTTACGAGTTGGTTATGAAAAGGTTACAAATTGGGTGTGAAGGTTACAAATTTATTATGAAGGTTACGCGTTGGTTGTCAAGGTTACGCGTTGGTTGTTAAGGATATGAGTTGGTTGTGAAGGATACGAGTTGATTGTGAATGTTACCCACGATTTTTTTTAATTGTTTATGACATCTCTTTTCATATAAACACAATTGAAGTGAAAAGGTTGGGCTTGACTTGGAGAGCTAAGGGTTGAAAGATGAGAGGGTATAGTCCTAGTCTAAGCCAACCCAAGCATGACAAATTAATGTCTTTGTGCAGTTAAAATTACTAGATTTAATCTTCAAGTATGAGGAATAAAATTATAGTGCGATGAAACTAATTATAAAATACTAACAATTAGATGATCAATAATTATGATTAAAAGTAGTAATCTTTTTACTATTTTTTTATAAGAGAGAGAATCCGAATTCCTGAAAAAAGAAGGGCTGTATATTCTTGATGATAAGGGGCTGTTTGGTTCGCTATTATAAGGGGTGGAAAACTCAGAAAACCCCTCCACGTCAGATTTTTAGCCCTCCACGTTAGTTTTTTTGTTTCCGTCTATTTCTTTGTGCAGCTTTGGTTCGCTCGGATGGAAAAGGGAAAACTCTGCTGAAATCGCCGCCAGCTCAAATTTTTTTCCCTCTCCGATTTCCTTCCCCAACCGAGTGAAATTGATGAAAACTCTGTCACGTCAGATTTTTTCCTTCTTTGCTTTGTTTACAAAAGTTTTCCTTTTTTTTCTATGCGAACCAAACACAAGAAAAATAAATACATTGGTTTCTCACCATTTTTTATGTGCGAACCAAAGCAAAACAATCTATTTCTTGGAAAAGTTTAGAAAACTCAAAACTTATATTTCTTTACATGGAATTGCATTTCCCTATATCAAGGAAACGAACCAAACAACCCCTAAAAGTCAATAAGTTTCTTTCCTATGATAATTTAGCATCTATTCCAATTCTAGCATCTATTCCAATTCTAGACTGTGAAGTGGTGGAGGGGCACATGCATGATTCCCTTTTAGCTGATTGTCATCCCTACGTTAATTGAGATGCTTGCTCTATGAACACACAACCTATCATTAAGGCCATACATTTCTCTACAGATCCTTTCAAAGAAATAAAGAAGAAGAAGAAGAAGCAATCAGGCCTTCCATGCTATAAAATTCTATATATGAAGGTTACTAGTCCGAAGAAATATCAAAATCTTATTTGTAAGTTACAATTTCGTTTACTAGTCAAAGCGTATATTTTATTCAAAAGTATTATATAAATTAAACCAACTTTTTAAATTGAACATCAAACTTTAGTGACTTGAGTTAAATTAATCTCACCCTTAATTAGTGATATGCTCCCGTAAAAGCCTAGCTGATAAGTCTTATTTGCCACCAATTCGACTGCACAGCATCAGATGACGCAACTCAGACGTATGTTCAATGTCAGCAGATGGATAGATATTAAGAGCCCAAGTGATGGATAGATATTATATTAAGATAAAGATGAAGATATTATATAACAAGAGTTTAGTTAACTGCTGTGATTATTTCATATTAATGTTTTAATTGAGTTAATTCATGTTGATGTTGATTTATTTTAATTTTAATTAATAGGAGACATCATTCTAATAATCAGGGACCTCTATGCAATTGGTAAAATCTTTAATAAGCTTTCATCTTTCTGTTTCTACACAAAGGCCAATTTTTTTTTTTTTTTTAAAGCAATCTAACAGCCAAGTCCTGCCTTATTTTGACTACTAGCAATTGGTAAACACTTTTTAATTAGTTTAATCTTATCATTTTCATGACCTACTAATCAAAGAAATCAAAATCAATCTCAAATTAATTTCCACGTTATACGACTGCACTTCAAACTTCAAAGCGTACATAGCCTCGTGAAGTTTGAACACAATAACGCGTGAGTCTGGCAATACATTTCAAAAGAAATTACATAGCTTATTGATCTTTAAGATGGACCATAACGAATTAAGTAAAAATAGTTATAAATAAAGCAACCAACAGATCATGATGGTCGAAAAAATTTTGGCCCCCGAAAAGAAAAATCTTAAGAAAAATCTAAATTCAACAAAAATATTAGGTCAAGCCCTAGGCTACCCGATTGAAAAGAAAAATCTTAAGAAAAATCTAAATTCAACAAAAATATTAGGTCAAGCCCTAGGCTACCCGATTGATGATGACATGCACTGCGCACGCATAGGTGTGTCCCTAAATTAAGGCACCAAGATGGTAATTGCTAATCATATGAAGATTAAGGACAATTTTGGCAGGTGAGATATCACAATCTTGATGAGAATAAACACAATATATATAAACAAGGGCCAAGAGTCAGTGAGAAATTTGGCACGCAAAAGAACAAGAGATGGATCTATTATCTGAAGAAAAAGTAGATCGCATTCAAACTATATGGAATTGGGGTAGTTTTCATGAATAAAATTTGACCTGGCCATAACAAACCCCCATTGACGACATGTTGACACTAACAAAATTAGATTCTGAATTGTTGTTTTACTATATCAAAGCAGGTATAATGTCTATCTATGTACAAGTGAATATTATTAACTGATTATAAACTTATAATATGTGTGTGTGTTGATTGTCGAGACCCACACTACATATTAAATGAAACTAAATAAAAACTCCAGCGTCCGGTTGGGTCCATAGCTCAGTGGTAGAGCAATTGACTGCAGATCAATAGGTCACCGGTTCGAACCCGGTTGGGCCCTTAACGATTGAATCATTTTAATTTTATATTATTATTTTGAAATATCCATTTTTTTTGAAATTTCCGCTTACGTATTCCATATTTGATATTTTGAAATTAGTCGCTCAAATTAATTCTCAAAACTTGTATAAGGTACGTAGTTCAAAGCAGTCCCTCTCGTTTGCTAGTTTTTTTTTAATCTTTTTTTCTTTGGGAATTTAGTACCTTACAGGCTTACATATTTGATAATTTTAAATTAGTCCCTCGAATTTTTGAAATTGACATTATCTCTCAAATGTTATTTAAGTTATTTAAGTTAGTTCAGATTTGATATTTTTGAAGTAGGCCCTCAAATTATTCAAATTGATATTACCCCTCAAACCTTATATAACATTTGATTTGCTTTATGAACTTTCTTTCCTTGCTTCAAGTGGCTTTGCATTGAACGTCTTCATAATAACAGAATGAATTAGTCCCTTGATAAGTGAGCATGAAGTTCCTGAAAGCTAACTGTGTTTATGCGTGCCCTGAGATGTGAGTACGTATGGATAAACACATTTATGTAGCTCAAAGAGCATGTGTATGTTTGATATAGATATCTTGGTAGAGAGAATCAGTACCAGAGTTGTTGCACACGAGAATTTTCTACATATGCACATGTGTCGAATTTGATATGCTACATATGCACATGTGTCGAATTTGATCAAAGAGATAATTTTACCCTAAGTCCCCTAATTTTTGTAGAGGACGAAAAGCAAGTGCCAAGGACTCAGTTTTTTTTGGGGCTCCTCTCTCTGATCAATTCAAGTCAAAGCTTCAGTCCTTTGGTGTTCAGGAACAAGGTAATATGTGTAATCATATCAAATTGGAATTTGGACTTGGCAAACATGATGAAATATTTTTTAGAGTGTACAAATTTCTACTTTAAGATTTTTATTGATGTAACATTTGTTGCTGAGGATTTTGATTCCTGTTCAGCCTTATGCTTTTGTTTTCCGCTGGAAGTAGTATATAGTGAGAATAAGTGCATGGTTAGTTGGCATTTCATTCTGTTCATTATAGTGCAAAATCATATATTAAATACTATTTTCAAGACACCTAATCATCTGATTACAGTAACATATATTTAAACTATACTTTGATGTTTTTGGCAGGAAAAGCTTTGTGTGTGCGTGTGTGTCCGTGCGTGTGCGTGCATGCATGCCTGTGTGTGTGCTTGGTGGGGGGTGGGATTGGGGTTCCCTCACATCACTGGTCCTTTATATATACATGCATATTTTGACAGTTTCCTCTAGGTTTCTGATCTTCACTGTTTTATTACAATAGAGTGAAGAATGGCAAAGAATTTCCTCTTAGAATTGAAGTAATCTTTCCATTATGTTGTTGTTTTGTCCGTACTCAATTATGATTATGTTGTTGTTTTTCTTGGACTTGACATGATTATCTAGTGGTTTGTACAGTTCCCCTTCTAAATCACTAAATCGATTCTCTTTGTATCTTATACTTGATGGCACAAATGAACTCTGGCAGGTTATACTACAGTCTGGACAGTTTAAAGGAGAATTGAGATTTTGGTACGTGTTGTTCTATATTTATTATTTTTAATAAAGACAAATATTATCTCATTGAGTAAAAGAATCATGAATGTTCTCATTTTTCGGATATAACTGCAAAGTAAGAAACTTATAGGTGAATGTGGTCGTGCATCGAGGGGAAACAAACTCACACCTGATCAAGTACAACACATAGATGTTACATTTGTTACCGGTGATCTTTTGTTTCACATTCAACATTTTAAGTATAAACTGAAGTTGTTCAATATTTGGAGGAATTGTCAGTGCTACAAGTGGTTTTTTTCACCTTCATGAGATTCCTACGTGTTACAAGTGGTTTTCACCTCCATGAGATTCCTGTAAGACGACTTTCTGTTGGTGCAACACTCAGAGCAGCTACACCTTACCAAAAGGCTTTTTTTCTTTTTTTCTATTTGAACTAAAAGACTAGAAAGATACTCAAAAGATACTCAAAAGACTAGAAAAGTTTTTGTAGAAAAAACTGATATGAGAGCAAAAAGAATGGCTCGGAAAGCAGGTGCCTTGGTATGTTAGTATGAAAGTTAATGATTTACCATGAGTTCTTTTTTTCTTTTGTTTGACAACATACTAGGCCATGGGAGATATTTAATTCTTTTCAGTTTATTGCCACTTATTTATGACTTCATGAACTTTAATTATGGAATAATTCAAGTTATCATTTGTTTTCTTTAAGGTTTGCTGGAGCTGCACATGCTACTGATTTTGGCCCTTGTGTGCTATTATATAGGTCATTCTTTTGTGTGAGTTTTTTCAAAAATTATTTTATGGCAGGTAATTTTCGTTGTTGATGCCAGTGGCAGTATGACATTAAACCGTATGCAAAATGCTAAAGGTGCAGCATTGAAACTATTGGCAGAAAGCTATACTAGAAGAGATCAGGTATGATATAAATTATGTCTCCATTTAGATGCATTTACAGCATCTCACATGTTAATGGTACCGTGTTTTATTACAATTGAGATAATGCATTATGCATATAATAATGAAGAGGGAAATAGAATGAGATGAAGGACTACAAGGAGAAAGTCTATGTAGTTTCCCATGGCAGAGCGTTGTTTATTTCCATGTTTGTATATACGATATGTATTTGTTTATGTGTTACAGTAGAATCTAGTCATTCACAATATCTAGTTCCGAAACCTATCCAGATTTCACAATATCTTATACTGAAAATTAGGAACATTATGCTAGTTGGAACTTGGGAGTCTAATTTCCTTCATATCTTATGCTAGTTGGGTAAACACATCCGAGAATAAAACCCAAAAAAAATCAGCAGCAACCAAGAGGAAAAAACTATGTAGCAAAAGGATTATGAGTATCTGAAACTCTTTTTATTATGTTGTGCCTGAACTCTGACGACCATTCGCTGTAATCAAATTATTCACCTTCCTCTTATGTGTTTCATTATTATGACAATATCATACGTTTGTGGAAAAATTAACTAATTCTATGGATGATTGATGCAGGAGAAATATTGAGGTCTCTATGGTTATTTCGGATTCTAACCCTTGCTATGAAGACGCACATATGAGGCTTGCTGTAGTACTCTTAATGTTGCTATTGAGTCCAACTGAGTGTTATGTTTGTTTCCTGTTCTTTTCTTTCTTGTCATGATCATGTTCATGCCTGAACATTTGAAAGATGGGAAATAAGTGGACTATGGTTGTGCTACTATTTTGTTTATAGACGAACTTAATACTCTTCAAGTTTATCAAGTAATTAAATAGATTATCCTTAATAATCGTGATCGTGTTGCTGATAGTTATGATGACATTTATATCAAGTTATTGATCTTATACAGATCCTTACATACCTTGTGTTTTCTATCTTGATTCATTTAAATATTCTCGCAATTTTGTTGTTATTGATCTTTTGGTTTTGGTTTGGAAATCTGAGGTTAATTTTGCAAATGTGTGAGGTTTGTACTTTTATCCAGGCTTGTAAATGGTTCAATCATGAACTTGTTTGCCTTTGTTTGTTTATCTTTGTTTATGTTCCTATTTTTGTTAGTATTTTATCAAAAGCCCCAACAAGTTTGCAAAAAACCCATAATAGTTTACAAAAAGCCCCCTAAAAGTTTACAAAAAACACCCCAAAAGTATTATGTACATATAACCACTATAGTTAAATGGGCAATTGGGCGGCCCGTTTATTAAATGGGCGGGCAAAAGCCCGCCCATTTAGAAAATATTAAATGGGTCATAAATGGGTAAATGGGCAAAACATGCCCGCCCATTTATGGCCCGCCCATTTAACACCCAAACCCACCCATTTAACATCCCTAGTTTTCATGAATAAAATTTGACCTGGCCATAACAAACCCCCATTGACGACATGTTGACACTAACAAAATTAGATTCTGAATTGTTGTTTTACTATATCAAAGCAGGTATAATGTCTATCTATGTACAAGTGAATATTATTAACTGATTATAAACTTATAATCTGATATATATACCACTCGGACTAATCCACCTACTCGGCTTTTTGTATTTGTATTTAAAGCGAGTTGTGTATCTACTCCAATGATACTATTGTTCCGGACCATTATGAACGAAGATCCGGGTAAGATATGCACCTCTTCGGGAATAAAAAAAACCGATCCACTTTCATTTGGTATTTGGGACTAAATTCTTGACTTGTGGATAGAGAACTATACTAGCTACCTATCTAATTTATTGTAGAAATTCCCTGGATCAACGATTGGATCATGCAAAATAGAAATACTTTTTCCTGGGTAAAGGAACGGATCACTCGATCTATTTCGCCCACAGTACAAATTAGATCAGACTAAATAAAAACTGCAATGTCCGTTGGGTCCATAGCTCAGTGGTAGAGCAATTGACTGCAGATCAATAGGTCACCGGTTCGAACCCGGTTGGGCCCTTAACGATTGAATCATTTTAATTTTATATTATTATTTTGAAATATCCATTTTTTTGACCCGGTTGGGCCCTTAACGATTGAATCATTTTAATTTTATATTATTATTTTGAAATATCCATTTTTTTGAAATTTCCGCTTACGTATTCCATATTTGATATTTTAAAATTAGTCGCTCAAATTAATTCTCAAAACTTGTATAAGGTACGTAGTTCAAAGCAGTCCCTCTCGTTTGCTAGTTTTTTTAATCTTTTTTTCTTTTTTTATTTGGGAATTTAGTACCTTACATATTTTAATAATTTGAAATTAGTCCCTCGAATTTTTGAAATTGATATTATCTCTCAAATGTTATTGAAGTTAGTTCAAATTGGTCCCTCTACGTTGATTAGTTTCCTTTTTTTTTCGAAGCCTACAGATTTGATATTTTTGAAGTAGGCCCTCAAATTATTCAAATTGATATTAGCCCACAAATCTTATATAAATTTCTTCAAATTAATCCCCCTAATTGTGGGGGGGGGGGGGGGATGGTAAACAAGCTCCTTTTTGGTGTTATTGGTTGGGAAAATGGGATTCGAACAATAACTTTTGATGTTATTGATTTTTTGGACCACTAAATGGATAATTAGCCCATACGGAACAAATTTATCCCACTCATATGGAAAAAGATTGCCCCCCATGGCCAAAATTTACCCCAACTCTCATAGTGGAATAATTTGAGATAAGTTAGATAATTTTGGAACATTCATATATGAAAAATTCCTCAAGGACCCAAAATATGGGACCAATAGAGGGGACAAATGAGGTGTCTCCCACCTATTGGATAATGAGTTGGTCATCATTAATGATGGCCAACTCATTATCCAATAGGAGGCATATATTCACTACTAATATATGTGCTAATCGTATTAGCTAAATATAAAATAATTATGAAATTAATACTATAAGATATAATTTAATTGTATTATATTAATTGTAATGTAATATATTAAATATTCATATTATATTGTATATAATATTATGATATTATTTATTGTATAATATGATATATTATAATATAAAATAACATAATATAATATGTTATATTATATTCTACTAAGCTTATGTTGATGTCAATTATTAAATAAAGGGTTAGTTTTTTTGGATTATGAGGGGTGTTAGGGTCCTCAAGCATCCTCAGATGGCTGGTTCCTGAGCCAGAAGTCCTATCATGCACATGAAGAACTCGTGAGAGGTCAGAGTTAGGATTTCTAGTGGTTCCTCCGACGATCAAGTCAAAATTGAGCTTGAGTGGAGAAGTAAGAGTAAAGTAGCAAAGAAAGCTACTCAGAATTGCTTACCCTAGGTAGTAGGCCTCAGTGTCCTTTTATAGCAGATCAGAAGGGTAGATAGGTAACTCTGGTCGAGTCAAGCTGGTGGCTCAGTCATCATCTGTGTTAAAGGTGTCGATCGCTAAAAATGGTGAGTCACCTAGGCGTTTAATGTGAGGGTGACAGGATGCGCATAGTGATGACGAGGTCCGATGAGTCATGAAGACTTTCGGGGTTAGAGTAATGATGATTCTGATATGCCTTTAAGGAGATGGCGATTGACAGGATGCGCATAGTGATGACGAGGTCTGATGAGTTATGAAGACTTTCGGGGTTAGAGCAATGATGAAATTTTTATAGTGTTAGTTATTGATATGGATTAAAATGTTTATTATTATATATTATTTATAATTTATCATTTTTTATTAGCAATTATTATTTATCATTTATGAATTGTTGATATAAATTAGGTTATTTAAAATATTAAATCATTTAAAATATTTATTAAAAATGTTTTTTCATTTTTAAAATATTTCATAAGTTAAAATTTTTAAAACATTATTTTCAGTTTTGTAAAATACCATAGCAATTAATATTTGTGAAAATAGGGTTTTTATAATGTTACAGCAATTAAAATTTTTAAACTAAATATTATTTTTTAGTTTTGTAAAATACCATAGCAATTAATATTTTGGAAAATAGGGTTTTTATAATGTTATAGCAATTAAATTTTTTAAATAGAATATATTTTGTAATGTTTATAAAATATTATGGCAATTTAAATTTTTAAACTTATATTTTTTATTTTTTATAATATTACAGTAATAAAATATTTTGAAAATATGTATTTAGTTTTTAAACATATTGTGGGTATTAAAATATTTTTTTAGTTTTCTAAATTATTTTTGCAATTATAAATTTTCCTTAATAAATTACTTTCTAAATTTACAAATTAAATATATACTAATAATTGAATTCATATTAAATTAATTTATGGATATTTTATCAAGATGTCTGAACAAAATAATTAAAATTGTATCATGCAACCCATTAATTGATCATCGATTAGATGAAAATGTTGCCATCTTGAAAGGAAGAATCACTCGAATATGGGAAGGACAAAATATAAATACTGGAATCTCATCCAGAACTAACTTTATTCTCCTTGATAACGAAGTACATTTAAATTTTTATGTATATCGATAATTTTAATCTTAAATAATATAAATTTAGTTTAGTTATGATGTGTTTTATCTAAATTTAAACAGAACACTCATGTACATTGTTTTTACCGTAAGAATGATGCAATACAATTGAGAAAATTAGTACAATAAGGAAAATTTTATATTTTCTCAAATGTAAAGATTGTTACTAAAAGTAAGATGTACAACCTAATAAGCACTCCAGTATCTATTTATTTATGTTATCATACAAACATCAATGTCTTAGAGGAGGATGGCGATGATATAGAAAAATACAAATTCAAATTTCTTCCTTACGGAGAGATTGTATCGAGAAATCGATTCAAAAGAATTTCTTATATGTATGCATTAAATTTATATTCCTCATAGATTATCAATATATGTCAAATTATACTAAATTTAAATTATTTTCTTTTATGTGTGTGTGTGTGAGATTGGATTAGTTGGTGAAAATTTATGCGATTGATAGCATGGACAGGAATGGAAAAAAATTTTGTTTAAAATGTTTACAATGCATGATAATGAGTAAATTATGATTTTATTATTGTTTATATGAAATATACACAAATATATTTTATAACATAAATATTTAATATATTTTTCTTTTATTAGGTTCAATACCATAGCTATCACTTTGTGGGAATATTTAGCATGTGCTCTGGAGGAAAAATTAAAATGGGAGAATCAAAGCTCATTGGTTATTATTGTGACCGGTTTGTTTATATATGATAATTTACATTTGTATGTCTAATTATTAACTTGCATGATTTTAAATATATACATATTATTATGTTATATTTCTGTTAATTTTCTTTTCACAGTGAAAAGATTAACAAGCCTTTCGTCCACATATGCTACAAATTTTTATATATCTAAGTGATAATAAGGATGTTGTTCAAACTCTAGGGTATTTTGTAGCTTCTTATGAAATAATATAATTATTTTTTTATAAAATTTATTCACAATCATAAGTAATTATTTTACTTATCTTTTTTCTCAGTTGTATTGATGCACCAACTCAGTACCAAATTATTGAGTCTGGAACAAGATTGCTAAGTACACAAATCAAATTTGAAACTAATGATGGTACAATTGATGATGTTTTCGAAGTAAAGGAATTGAATGATGGCGATATAAGTGAATTTTAATTTATCTTTGTATTGAATTATTTTCTAAATTTTATATATATACAATTATAGATTTTAACACTCTATCAAATAAGAAACATGATACAATGATAAAAGATGTATTATTATTATTCAATATACTTAAAATATTAATATTTTAATTAATTTATCATGCACTTTATTATGTTGTTTGTTTTTAATAATTTAATTGATGATGAATATG